CTTTCTTTCTATCATTTTGTTTCTCTTCCGAGTGGTTTTTGTACCCTATTTTTTTCTGTTTCTTCGTGGGGTCGTGTATGCCGGGTTTTGAGACCACGGGCTCCCAATCTTTCTTTTTTAGAGCTAATGTGAGAAACAACAACAACAACAACAACAACAACAACAACAACAAACAGTCATTAATATCAGTAAATGCACTCGTATCATTGCTCAGCGCCCAATTTCACCCCGGTACGTCCGAAAAGGCGCAGGGTATACCCTGCAGTGACTACTTTTCTCAACAACTGTACCCTGTTTTCGGAAATGTACCTTGACTCGACGGGAAAAGAGACCCTTCCATCAATAATTTCCCCCGCAGGAATCTTCCCAACTCCTTTTCCTTTCCAACCATGGGATACAAAACGGCGAATCTTCCCGCCCATTAACAACCATGGCAACGGGGCAGGAATCAGTTTCCGCCCCTGCGAAACAACACCAACCGTCAACTCTTCCGCTCTAAATCAACAATGGCCGGGCAATGCCCCAGCACAATTGTTCCGTTTGGAAACATGCATACACGCGTACGATACCCCGTGGACGAGTGCTTGCTGCAGTCTATATGCGAGACGCACGGGTCACGCTGTGAAAGCGAGACCGATCCAGCATGGTTGACATGCATATGCATGTGCCAATATGTAGCGCTGTGCTGGCGGCGAGCTCGCGCCCGCAGAGAGGGTGGAGGGGAGGCAGGAGACCAGCAAACACAGACACGCCCTTGACGTCAATCACGCACACACGAGTCTCATCCTTACTCTTGCAACAGGACTGCTGTGTCATGTATCTCAATCACCCTCCCTGTCGGTAGAGAGAAGAATGAGTGCTCGCGTTTTATTTCATCGGCTCATCCCGCTGAAGCCTGACTGCCCACGTAAGCCGCGTGCCCATTTCTCGTGCGGTGGCATCTCGATGACCCAAACAATCAAAGCGAAAGCCACAGTGCGGCCGAAAAGTACAACAGCGAGCTTGTTGCGAGCACCACCGCCCCCCGCGGATCTGACTGCACACATTCTAACCATAGCGCGCAGAGGGAGTGAAGGACTCCAGAATATCTGTCGTTGATTTCTATTGACTTGCGGACCCCTCGGGGCCATTTTATTTGAGTGTTNACATGCGAAGGTACTGGGTAGAGAGAGATCGGAACGGTTCTTAATGCGAAGACAACAACAACAACAACAACAACAACAACAACAACAACAACAACAACAACAACAACCGGTCGCCCCGGTGGTCTAGTGGGCAACCTCGCCGCAGCCTGCTAAGGGCCAGGTCATAGGTTCGAGTCCCGGCAGAGTGAGTTTTTTTCTCTCTAAATAAATCCTGGTCTAGGATGAAAGCGACGCGCTGCAAAGCTCGTTTGTTAGTAAACCATAATCGACTTCGTGAGTCGCGAGGGAAGGGATTGCTGTACCCTTCTCACGATAAAAATACCTCAGGCAGGAACCGCAGGAGGAGGGCCAGCCCCCCCCTCCTATGTGGCCCCGGTTGGGTCGTCTAGCCAGTAGTAGTGGAGAACAGGGGCCAGAGGGGCAGACGACAGAGTCCAATGATGGGGGGGGG